TTTAACATTACCACTCAAATTTTGTGTCAAAAATACATTTGTAAACTGCTTGCATATTAGAATTTTGTTATCTATGACTTTCTTTATTTTGCCAGATCCTTTCTGCCAGGATTGGCAATGCCTAGCTCATCTTGCAGATTGGCAATGCAAAATAGGCTGCATGGGATTCAGAGTGAAGTGAGTGGAATAGACAGGTGATAATTTACCTTTCCTACAATGTCCTCTTATTCCCTGTTTTCCTGCCTCCATTGATAGTACATATTTTGAATCTTCTGAAGTTCACATTCTCCATATATTTGGTTTTGGACAAATGGAAATAGGATGATCACTCCAAAAAGTATTTAGACTCAAACACAATTCACATTACACATTGTTAAAATAAGTTGCTTACTCTTAAGTCTATGGATCACTATAGTTTTAATGACTTACAATTCAACATAACTCTACCAATGCCCTAAACTTTAATTTTCAATGCATTCAATGAACTAATAATGTATCTGATAAGGGGTTAAGTGCAAAAATTGTTTTCCTGATGCACATACAAATGAAATTTTATCCAACCACTTGTTTTTATATTTTCATCTCCTCCTCCATATCTCATTTCCTGACATAAGAAATACAAACTTTTTGGATTACAAAATTTTTATAGGCCTTTAACCTATAAAATCTTGGCAAAATATAATGAAGAAGTACCAATGTTTTAAAATGAATAAATCATGAAGAAAATTCAGCAAAAGAATAACTGTTATTTAATTTTCAGTTGCTTTTAGGACACCATTAGAAACTGCACAAATATAGGGGCTGCTATTTTTTAAGGCCACAACAGCTAGCCAAAGTGGAATCCCTTCCTAGGATGCACAGTGCTAGTGGGATTCATTGCTGGCAAAAAAGCATCATCTCATGATTTTTCTCTTTCCTTCTTTCCAACTGAAAAATTAATCATGATACTGAAAAAAGGAAGGCATGGGGAGAAGGAAGGGAGTTACAAAAGCAAGAACACATATCACACACTACAGTACTGCTATTTGAAAAGAGTCACATAGATTTGTGCATCAGATAGCCCTGAAGATGACAGTGGCCTTGTCCAAATCAGTGTATTGCATTCCTAAACTACTTTTCAGATAGAAGAATGACCTGGCTGACATCAATGTCCTGCAAAAGGTGCCAGATGAGCTGACCCTAGCCAGAGCTGAACTGGAGATGCTGAGAACCTGACGGAAGAATTGGTCTATCTGAAGTAGAATCAATCATGAGGAGGCCAAAATTTGATTTTTTTTCCTCCCAGACTTCAAAATTAAAACATCAGGTTTGCAAATCTGGAGTTAAAACACGACCTGTTTAAGTGGCCATTTATTTTGGATGTGCCTGTGCATGTACATTGCTGCTACTGCTGTTTATAATGGTTCTTACTAAGGTTTAATTAATCAGAGACACATTCTGATTTTGTCATTTTCATTATAGGTAATAAATTAGGTAATAAGAATTTTAACTCTCTTGATTTAGTGATTTTGAAAACATACTCTCATATATATATATATATAGTATTTCAAAAGTTAGAAAATAAAGAAGTCTACCAATAACATAAAATGCTATGTGCCACACATGGCACTCTGATGGACCACAGTGTATACCAGTGACTGGTATAGAGAATAGATACTGTCAGTAAGTTTTTACTCAATTTTCAGTGATTCTACCAATTCTGCAGGATTAGACACTTCTTGCAGCCCTTGGCTTAACAGCTGTGGATGAAATCTCTCTAGCAACTTGCATACCAAGCCTGCCTTCCTGTACAGACAGGACAGTGGATTCTCTAGAAGGAGGGTTAACTAATCCTTCAGGCCCATAGACACAGCATATAGAGTCCATGGTCACTTAAATATCCTATGAAAATATCTTTAGTTGTTATTTTGTTGTTGTTGTTGTTTGTTTTTAGTGTGCCCAAGAACATTTACTTTTATTTGTTCTAATTAGTTATATGTGAAAGTGGAATGCATTTTGACACATCAAACGTAAATGGAGTACAAATTCTCATTCTTCTGGTTGCACATGCTATAGAGTTATTCTGGTCATGTAATTATATTGTAATGGGCCAGGCTA